CGTCTTTCTACTCATTCAGAGTCACAATTTTATTAACCAGTCCTTGACTTTGACGAAGGCTTTCTTAAAACCCATATAAACATCCAATGCATTTTCTTCAATCTTTTGTGTTCCTCCATCAAAAACATTAGTCAAACACAATGTGACATTTACAAATCCGCAATAGCTATCCTGAATTAACTCAAGCATTTCCAAATGCCTGTCGACCTTTACCCCCAATTCCCTGATTTCTGCTTTCACTGGTGATAATCAACTAGGAAGTCTGCAGTTGTTCGGGCTATCCTTACATATTTTTTTGCTCAAATCATGGGACATGCACATTACTGGCCAGGGCAGTATTTATTGTCCATCCCTAAATGGCAGTTGAAAGTCAAACACATTGCTGTAGGTTGGGAGGCACATGTAGGCCAGACCAGATAAAGATGGCAGATTTCCTTCCTTAAAGGGCATGAGTGAATCAGATGGGTTTTTCCAACAATCAGCAACAGTTTCATGGTCTGAAGCCCAGATTTTTTTTTGAATTCAAACTGAACATCCGCCATTGCGTGATTTGAACCTGGATCTGCAGAACATGACCTAGATTGCTGGATTAATACTCTAGCGAAAATACCACTAGGCCATTGCCTCCCCTGCTAATCCCACATTAAGTAAGGGTGTCACAAATGCCAATCTCTAAACCTCTGGCAACCTTCCACGTCTTGGTAAAATCAGAAGATTATAGCAAAGCCCTCTGCTATCTCCACCACCTTTAGCAACTGGGGTTGCTGTTGGAAGTCCTGGGATTAATGATCTTTTTCTTTCATTTCAATTATTGCTTCTAAAACCTTACCCAGGAGGATGGTAAACTGACATGCCTGTAGTTACAATGACATGAGCCCACAATTTTTTACCACTGAGCTGAGTGTTGGCCACAGTAGAGACCAAATCTATTCATACGAAGAAAATACAAACCTGAAGAAATTTGTTAAGGCAGAGACTTTACTGACCAATACATTATTCAAAACATATTTGGTTGCACTGTATAACCAATACTGAAATATGAAATCATATCAATCCAAGAATTTATGGGTAGTAGCCTCATTGTTGTCTAATCTATTTCTTTGGCGTAATCTATACTTGTTCAGCACAGGTATTTCTAACTCCAAAAATTGGGAGAATGAATCAAATAAATGTCTGTAAGGGAACATCCAAGGAACAGCAATCATGATATCACAAGTTTCTGCTTAGCCACATAAAAGGACATGAGCAATCCACAGTCAAAACAGATATTGGAGAACATAATTTCAGTGGAGTTAAAAACAGATCCAGCCAAAGTAAATTGAAATCAAAAAGAGTGCAGTCAAAATTCTTGTGAACAATGTGCTATCTTAAGAAGATGCTGCAAGTACAATCAAGACATATTTCTGGGAGGAAAAGTAGGACAACAAAAGCTATGTATGACTAAAACAATAAAGAATAAGATTAAATGAAAAGAAAATGTGCATTTAATTGGTGTCATCTTAATTATACAAATGAGAATCAATCTGTATGTAGAAAACTCAAAGGAAATGAAAAATGAGTAAGAGACAAGGGGATAACAAGGAGACAGCATTCGAAGGGGAACCCGAAGTCTTCTATCGACATAAATAATACAAGGGTAATAAGAGATGAAGGACCACTAGAGGATTTAGGCAGAGAGGCAACAGCCAGGGCTGATTTGTACCTGCCTTTATCAAAGAAGGTACTGTCAAAGTAATAGTGAAAAACAGGAGGCTGGTGAGATACCTCCTCAATCTATTTTTCGATCAGCACTGAAAGGTTGGCTGCACTTAAAGTTGATAAATCACTAGGGGGGATGGAATGCATCCAAAGATACTGAGGGAAGTGCGGAAATTACAGAAGCGCAACCCATATTCTTCAAACTTCTCACATGGTGCTAGAGGACTGAAGAACTTCAAGCACTACATTCTTGTTCAAGACAAAGTGCAAGGATTAATGCATCAACTTCAGGCTAATCAGTTCAACATTGGTGGCAGTAAAACTTTTAACAAATGACGATCCTGGATAAAATTAACAGTCACTGGATAAAGATGGATAGTTAAGGAAAATTAAATCATGATGCTATCTGTTTTGCTGTCATTCGTCCACTGTCATTCCAACTGTAAAATCTGGGCCATTGCATTTAGGAGCAAACAAATACTAGCCAACCATCTCAACAAATCAAATGTACTTGCAAATATGAAGATCTAATGTTTAGGCTGTGAGTGGTTATTAAATCTCAACTGTGGCATTACAAAAAAGGGGCAACTGATCTAATTCCTGAATGCAGAAAAAGCACTGGCTACATTTCTCAATTCTCAAATTGATCTGCAAATCTGAAGTGCATAATCAGTGAATTAAGTTGAAACGTGCCAAGTTTCCAATAGTGAAATACCCAATACTGAAACAAAATTCCCGTTATCTGGATTTGTAATCCAGGTTCTCTATTTGAGCACACAATTTAGTTAACAAAAGGTTCAATGGTTGTGTCTAGTATTTGACAGCACTGAAGGAAAAGCTGTATTTGATACAACACTACAAGGTGAACACACTGTATTAGCAAAGAACGAGAGATCTCTTGACAAGAGTTTACAGAGCCCTGATTCTTGGTTGACCTGTTGCAAGTTCAAGCAGATAAGAACTTGTTTAAACTACAGCTTTGAGTAAATAAGCAAACATGTGATACGTAGTGATTTTTCAGTTTAAAACAGTGATTAATGGCACTAAAATATGTTGGGAAAATTAAGACGATTTTATGCTAGTTTTCAGGTTTTTCTAGAAGTAAGTATTAACAACTTTCAAGCAGAAAGGTATCTATAAATAGAAATGCCAGATGAGTTTCACACTGAAGTCAGACAGGAAGATGTCTGCAAACAAAAAACAGCCTTGCTTGTCACCAACTCCACTTCTACCTGAACTATTCTCTCAAGTCAAGCAAACAACCTACATCATTTTTCTGATGAAGGGTCTAGGCCCGAAATGTCAGCTTTCCTGCTCCTATGATGCTGCTTGGCCTGCTGTGTTCATCCAGCTCTACACCTTGTCATCTCAGATTCTCCAGCAACTGCAGTTCCTACTATCTCTCTCCAACCTACATCATTGTTGTTTATTCAACCCTCAGCTCATTTTGATTCCTCATTCCCTCAATCCGCAAGGTCACTTAATTTCACTTCTACAAAGTTACTCATCTCCTGCCAAAACATCAAACAGCTCTGACATTTCTATATTCAACAGCGTGCTAACTGGCCTCCCACTGACACTCCTTAAAATCGTTAACTTGTACAATACTTTCACACATGCATCTTAATTGCAATAAGTCCTGCACATTCACCATCTTCATCCTTATCGCTCAATGGCTCCCAGCATTTAAATTTAAAACCCATTTCTCTTCTAAAATCATTTAATTACTTCTTCTTCTACTATTCTGCCAATCTCATGAGCCATATCCTTCCTAATCACAATGTTCCTTTGACCCAAGCCATCTGTGAATTCCCAATCCTTGTACTTTATCACTGACAAAAGAAAAATACGTCACCTCAGTCCAACTCTCTGAAATACCTTCCAAAGGCTCCGTCACTTCACTTCTCACACGTCCCTTCAGAACCTTCAGTCTTTTCAAGAAGGTTTTAATAATTCTGACAATATTTCCCCAATAGGTGCAGCATTCCATTTCCTTATGCATGTTGACGAGTACTTTGGAATATTTATTTCCATTAAATGCACTCTATGAAGAAACTACTTCTGTCAACCCCATAACTGAGGTGTTTGAGTGTTTTCATAAACTAATGATATAGCCCATCATCACAAATATAGAAGGAAACTAGAACCAAATGAAAATAGATCAGAATGGTTTTGGGAAGGCGCTCAACAACCACACAATCAAGAAGATTTCATAAATATGACAATTACTGCTGCTTCCTAACACATCTGAAAAAGGTACTACGTACTAAAACACTAAGTTGAATTTTGCTGATACGAATGATATGGAATTCATTTCAGCTGTTATATTAATTTTCAATGTCAATTAACACCATTAATATGACATTATTCTAGTTCATTGATCACCAGATAAAATAATTTTAAAATCCATTAATTCTCCAGTTGAAGCAACAGTGAGCCATTAGTTAAAACTGATCCTTTACGACAATGTCACCAAGCTCTTAAGTTAAAGGGGGTATATGTAAAAGCTTATCACATTTATTTTTACATGACTTTATTTTATTTAAAGTAGATGGTTAACTTCGTAAAACAAACAAATCTACAATTCTTTTCCAGCAGTTTCTCTACAAACAGGAAATTCATATTAGTGACAGGTTAGCTCGTGATATTTTGTCTTCACAGCAGAAATCTGACAAGACAACAAAACTTGATCCGTCAGTGCAGCGTACCAGTCCCATGCACCACCTGTCATCTGCCAAACTGCAGCTTGCATCTGTCTGGAGGTGGATTTCAAGAGCCACATTAAAAACACACACAACCAGTAGCATCTCCTCCTCCACAAAAACACACACTGACAGCCAGTCACTTGTGCTCGGTGCAGTGGGATTGGCACCGACGGAGATGGAAAACACATACGGACACTGTAAAATATCCTACCATTGAAACAAAACAAAATGTAAACACTATGGACACACTGGCGCAATTCTTGCATTTACAGTTATGGACGGCGGGGGCGGGGGGGCGGCTGACCTCGCCCCCGCCCTCTCAAAAAAGAGAAAAATTAGAAGGAAGCACGATTAAGACTTGCAATCCTATTCCGGGAACAGAGGAGGGTAGGGAACCGTTAAATTAAACCTTCACGGGGATGGGGTGGCACGGCATCGAAGAGCAAAGCTGAAACATGGCACGGGGTGAATTGGCTCCTTCGATCCAGGGGCGTGCGTTTCTGGTGCGTTGTCTCGCACTGCGTGGAAGTGAAGCATCCCCACCGTGTGTGTCTACGCTGTCACTTTTCATGGGCGTCTGTTTGACGTTGAACTCACCACTTGGTAGCGGCTGCAGGCCTCCATTGCTGTCTCTCGCTGCCTGGGCGTCCGCCTTACACACGCCCGTTAGTCGCGCTCGGGCTCCTTTTCCTACCGCCCAAACTCCCCCTCCTCCTATAACCTTGCTTCCTTTTCTTCTTAATCTATTCTCTCCGTCTCTGTCTCTGTTATACACGCACCATCCCCAGCCCTCTCCCCGGCGATTCGAAAATCAACAACCCACAGATCAAAGAGGGCACGAACAAAAAAACAAATCCACCAGCGAACGGACTCCCGGCTCTACGCCTGCGCAAAATCAGCCGACACCGTCCTTTGTGACGTCTCTCGTCCACCCCTGTAGCCGGGGAGGGGCGTGCCCGAGGGTTCCCCGCCCACTTCACCGCTGGTCACGCCCTTCAGCCCCCAGGCCACGCCCCCTCTCCGCCAACCCGTCAGCCGGTGCAGCATATGTTCCGTGACTGAGAGATGTTGCTGTTGTCAGCGATTTCCTTTGGAATTCCCCTGCTGGAAACATTGCTCCCCTAGGTAGTGATTACCCCAGAGAGCGACAAATCTGATCCATCTTAAACCACATCCTTAAAAAAGGAAAAAATTTGCAAACGATAGATTAGCCGTTGGTTCTGAATGGAAAGATCCACGAAACTTTTTTTTCTCTCTTTGAAGGGTGATGTCGGTTCAGATTCCTGGCTCCTTCAGAAAGATTATTTTCGGGTTCACCCAGTCTCCTGCTTGGTCACCCACTGCAGCTGGAAAGTTAAACATTCCTTTCTTTGAAGTCTTTCAACATGTTATCGCTCCCCAAGTCCATGTCTATCTCAACTTTCCCACAACTTCCTTCCATTAGGCTTCAGCCCTCACCTCATTGCTAAAACGCCTTTTAACAAAGTCAGAAATGATCTCAGAAATGGCTATGACCTCTCATGTTGTCCAGAGCTTTTACACAGATCACATCTAGCCCCAATGCCTCTCTATCGTATCCGAATGGGACTACAATTCCCACTTTCAATTCTTACCGATCCTCTTGTAGCCAAAGAAACATCTGCAAAGGTTTCTCTTCCCAGTCTAAGCTTTGACATCCCTCAGGAATGATTCCTCAGCTCGCTCCTAATTCTCATTCTGCGTGAGTGACCCTCAACATCTTAATAATAGGTTGCACTGAATGCTGACAACAAGCTCTATTTCATCAACACCTTTGTTGTTGAACGGAGCCATGATGTGGAGGTGCCGAAGTTGGACTGGGGTGGATAAAGTCAGAAGTCACACGACACCAGGTTATAGTCCAACAGGTTCATTTGAAATCGCAAGCGTTCGGAACGCGGCCCCTTCCGACAGGTGCACCTGACGAAAGGGCTCCTCTCCTAAACCTTGTGACTTCAAATAAATTTGTTGGGCTATAACCCGTGTGGTGACTTCTGACTTTATTATTGAAGGTATTGCAAATTCTAGAGAACTGAAATAAGAACCAAAAGTGGTGGAAAAACTCAGCAGGTCTGGTAACATCTCTGTAGATTGAAACAGTTAACATTTTAAGTCCAAAGTGACTTCTTTAGAATATTTTTAAATTTATCACAATGCCTGTCCAACATATAATGCAGGATAAGGAGAAACTGCTGGAGATTAGAGGTAGGAATGGAATAGGCCACGAAGGACTTTGAAAACAAGGGACAGAATTTTGAAATCAAGGCATTGCTTCACTAGGAATCACAATCTTTAACTCAGGTTCACATGCTACAACTGATTACACTCGGGGCTTGTCTGATCACGCTCTTACGAAGTGCTTTGGGATGTTTGGCTAGTAACTAGTGCTTTATAAACGTCAGTTGTTTTCACTAAGCAGACCATGTGTTTGGTTCATATGTGCATCCAACAATTGGATCGAGGTTGCTCAGCATTTTCAAATGGAATCCAAATATTACTCTCCGTGACAAGCATATGTCCCAGAAATATCTCAACTTCTGTGACTGTTGTGGATGGGTAATGCTTTACCTGACAGAGAGTTACAGGATGAAACATTGCCTTCAGAAAGCAGTGAGTAAGACTTGCTAGAGACCTGAAACAACTCAACAATCTCTTATTGATTGGAGCAGAAACTCTCCCCTGACATACAAGGCTCAATATATTAAGTTGGAAAACTGGAAAATCAGGAAAATTGTATACAATGTGCACCAAGTACAGACCAAGTGCAATAATTAGAAGCACAAAGAGCAAAATAACTTCCACAATAAATTTGTTCTGTCTCCCATCCATGTACATTTAAAAAAAACTTCAAATCACTAAACCATGCTTCTTGTATCTTTTCCTATGCTACATCTCACTCATTCCCTGACCTGCAGTGGTTTCCAATTCCAGATTGTAACTTTGTTGTGTAACCCTCTCTTTTTAATCCTTTCAACAGCCTTTTGAAAACTTGCCATTCCTCTGACATTAGCATATTTTGCCTTTCACAATTGCTTCATTCCACTGGCAGTTATGCTTTCAGACACCTGGGCCCCAAGATGTTTAATTTAAGATCAGCGCTTCAGGCGTGGTCTCATCTCTAACATAAACAAAAGTTTCTGTCTTGTTGCAGCAAGCTTGGTGAAAGGCCTCCACACTGAAGTCTGAAGGAAAATGGATTAGGGTAACAAACCAGATCAAAATATTGGGTAGCAGTTTCACTCTGCTGCACTGCTGCCAATGCCAAGAAAATCTGGCCCTGTAAAACAATTAACTATTTTAAAAAGGAGATTGTAATGCAAAGTCCACATATATTAGCAGGTGTACACACATAAAGCAGAAAAGGTTGATGATTAGCCATGATCTAGAATATCTAAGCAAGCTCAAAGGGTCTGAATGGCCTATTCCTGTTTTTATGTTTCTATAACTAAATATATCATGTTACTCATGGAGATCTGCAATCATGAAACCTTGCTCTGTGCTTAGTTAGCTGATCTTATCTCTGATCAAAGTCAATTAGCTCAGTTATAATGTATTACTTTGTGTTCTCCTGAGTTGCAAATTTCATCCATGGGTAAGTAACGTTTGTACTAGAAGCGAAGAGTCCATAACAACCCTTGGTAGCAGTGAGCAAAGAGGACAAAAATGAAGCCAGCTTTGTGCTGCTCTTTACTGTACGATGCTGCCTGTTGGAAGTGCACGTATGCGCATGTTGGGTTATGGTTAATAGTGCTTCATAATTACAGCCTTGTATTTAAATATCCTGCTGAAATTGCTCAGCATCACACTACAGCAGAAATTTGAAATGGTATTGTGCCAATGAAGCATCTGTGGAATTGCTATCCAGTGTAAATTACTACTTGCTGGGAAGAGAGCAAAATTTGCAACATCAATCATATGCAAGAAGTCACTTATAGTGTGCTTCTATTTGTGTTGGGCTTGTGTGCAAAAAGGTGTAACTTAATTGATGACATGTGCACATCAAAAAGAATTAGCCATGTGAAGACTTTGAGTCTGCACATATCTCCAGCACTGTTCCATTGTAAACTGTGATCTTCAGAAGAGGAAACTGTAGTAAAAAAGGGAACTTTGTTGAGTGAGGAATAAAAAAATAGAAAGGTTGATTCTAAAAACAAACATAACACTGAGTACAAAAGCGTTTTATAGCGATTCAGAACAATAAAAAAATTTACTTTGCTTTTTTATATTAATCTGTGTCTTTGACCCTCCATTCACCAATACTGCAGCTGTCAATGTGCACCATCACAATCTCACATTTATTATTGGTCCTGTCACCAGTAAAATTCTTACTCTTTCCCACCATGGCACGTCCTTGGATATCTTATCCATCTTTGTACCTTTAAATCTGTCCTTTTCCTGACATCCTTTCCCTCCTCCTTTTCCCAAACCTTTCCCCCGCTTCCCCAACCCTCCCCTCTCCAACCACCTTCCTCTCTCCCAGCATCACACCTCTCCCTCTCATCCACCCCACTTCCCCTTGACGGTCGACAACCCCTTCCCACCCACCTCCCAACTTTCTTGAACCCCACCTCCCTTTCACCCTTACTGCCTCTTCCCTCAGCCAACTCCCCACCTTTTACACCACCTCCTCCCTCGCACTCTTTTATCCCTAACCAAATCTTTTACCCCCAACCCTTTTCACCCTCCTCCCCATACCTTTACCTCAGTCCCTTTTGCTCTATCCACATCCTTCCCTTTTCCCATCCCCACTCTATCTTTACCCTCACCTCTCCTTGCCCATTCCTACACTCCCATCCTCTTCCTCACATCCTCCTTCCCTCTACCCCACCCTCTTCCTCCACTCTCCCCGCTTCCCTCTCTTTCCATTTCTCCTCTATCCAATCCCCAACTGCCCTCTCCCATTCCCCCTCCCCTTACCCTTTTACCCTTCCCCATCACTCTTTCTTCCCTACCCACTCACACCTTTGCCCCTTCCCACCTATACCCTCCCCCTTTCTGGCCTCTCACATTCCCCCTTCCCCCATTACCTCCCATCCCCATCTACCCATCCACCTCTCCCTTTCCCCCAGCCCCTGACCCCACTACTCTCATCTCCCTTCTCTGACTACCCCCATCTGACACTCCGCCTCTCCCTCTCCCCTTCCCCCACTCCCCTCTTCCGCCACTCACCCTCCCCAACTCCCTTCTTCCGCCACTCCCCTGTACGTCCACTCACCCCCCCCTCCCCCCTCTCCCCTCCCCCCCCTCCCCCCCCCCACCCCCCTTCTTCCGCCCCTCCCCTGTACGTCCACTCACCCCCCCTTCCCCACTCTCCCTTCACGCCACTCCCCTCCCCAACTCTCCCCATCTCCCCTTCCCCAATCCATCAATTGCCCTTCCCCAACTCCCTTCCCCGACTCCCCTCATCTGCCCTTCTCCCACTCCCCATTCACCATCGCCTCTCTGCCATTCGCCCCTCCCCTAAACCCACTCTCCCCTCTCCTTTTCCCACACTGTTCCCGTTCCCCCATCTCCACCTCCCTTTCCCACAATCCTGTCTCCCTCATTCTCCATCGCCTCTCCCTTTCCCACACTTCCCTCTCCACCTTTCACCCACTCCTCCCTCCCATTTCCCCTCACGCAACTCCCCTCCCCTCCCTGACTCCCCCATTTCCCTCCCACTCCACTCCACCTTCCCGAACTCCCCCACCCCTTCCCCTTCCCCAGTCCCCTCTTCCCCCATTCCCCTTCCCCTTCCTAACTCCCCTCGACTGACTACCACATCTCCCTACCATACGCCCATCTCCTTTTCTCCCACTCCTCTCCCGAGTCACCCCATCACCCTTCCCCCCACTCCCCTCCCATGAGTCTGCCCATCTCCCTTCCCCCACTTCCCTCCTCTAATTACCTCCAATCTCCCCTTTCCGCCACTCCCTTCCACTGACTCCTGCCATCTCCCCTTCTCCCCACAGCCCTACCTCAACTGCTATCACCCCTTCCCCCAGTCCCTTACCCCCTCAATCCCTTGCCCACACAAACCCCCTCCATCCAGTTTCCCCAACCTCCTCCATCCCCATCCCCCACCTCCACCATCCCCTTTCCCCTACCTCCTCTCCCTCCATTCCCTTTACCCCCAGCCCTTCATCCCCTATCCCACTTCTCCCCACCCCTTCCTCATTCCCTTTCCCCCAGGCCCCTCTCTGTCTGTGTGTGTGTGCCTATTGAAGTTTGCAAGTTGTCCTCCAGATGGATATATATATATACACACACACACGAGGAGTTCTCACCACGCCCCCTATTCAGCCAGCGGGAAACTTCGCGAGATGTGTGTGCGGGCCGAGAGTAGGAAGCCGCCATTTTCTGAATGCTCTCGCCAAGAGGGAGAAATGTTAGAGTTAGCCTGGGCCCAGCTGGTGAAATACTCCTGACGCTTCCGAGTGTGTGGCGGAACGATTTTTTTTAAAAAAGGAAAGAAAAAGTCTCAAACTCTTAACACTCTTGGCGTGCTGCGCAGGCCTGTACGTTTTTTTTTAAAGAAAAAAGATATTTTTAAATATTGTTTGCGGGCCCTGTCTCTGGCCGTGTGTGTGGACACGTTGAGCATCCGGAGCCGCAGCTGCTATTTGTAAATTTTTGTTTTCGTTATTAAAAGGGGGGGTAAAGATCCTTTCGTTTCGATGTTCGGTCTTTGATTTCCCCACCCCCTTCTCCCTCCAAAGGGAGAAGACGAAACAACCCCAGTTCCTTTAGGTCATAAAGCAACCCCCCCCCCCCCCCCCCACTTGCCACTTTCCTCCGTCCTGATCTTTCCTTCCCCCTCCTCCCCCGTCAACAAATTGTTTAGTGTTTGACAAGAGCCGATCGGCCTCTGTTATCTCCCACCCCCCCCAAAAAAAAACCTTTCTCCCTTTCCAAGCTTGATCACAATGATGATAGAAAATCTCGATGCCCTCAAGTCGTGGCTCACCAAGACCCTGGAACCTATGTAAGTACAAGAGAGTTTGGACCATCTCAGTGCATATCCGGGTATTTAAAAGAGATTCCACGGGGTTATTGCAGAGTTATTGTAGTTCATTTTGGGGGAAGAGGGGTGGGGGTGGCAGATGGTGAAGGGAACGAAATCGGTGATCGTGCATAGAAAACTCGCTCAACTTCAGAATTCAGCAATGGTATCTCGTCTGCTGTAGTTCTGCAAAATTGGTTTGGTCCCTTAACATTTCGGAGATGTCGATCATTTTCAAGTTTTCTTCTGAAGGATGGTGCATTGTTTATATCTATTTTTAACACTGCTGGCACACGGTGAGTTTTTTTTTTGGCTGATGTGTAGTAAGCATTCACTCTCCATTGCACAGTTTTGAATACGCTTTTGATGTTCATCGATACCTGTACGTTGCTTGGAGGGTGTTTTTTTTAACAAGTTGCGTTTCTGCAGCAACATTGAATTGAACGCCAAGAAGCCTTGCCCTGCGATGTAGTCCAGTTCAACAGTATCCCTTCGCACGTGATCATGAGTTTTACAAGTTTTTTTTATCTTGATTTGTGCGGCAAGTGACAATTTTTGTCCTTAGCAGTGTAAATGCGTTTCTAAGTGACTGCTGTAATTTGCATTTTGTAATATTTGAGGCCTGTCCACTGGCCGAGTTGTTGATGCACATGTACTGTACCTTCTTATTTAAAATATTCATCAAATACCTGCTTGAAGCCATTAATCCAAGTTTTTAGTGTTTATTTTAATCAAACTGTTTGGGACAGGTGGGACTTGAACCTTGGTCTCTTGGCTCAGAGGTAAGGACACTACCACTGCGCTACGAGGGCCCTAATTTCTTCATACATTTGTCAACTTGTAGGTGATATTGCTTGAAAGTAATTGATTATTATTTTACATGATAATGCTTTCCCCTTTCATTTCTTTGAACCTCAACAGTTATTTTAAGAAATCAAGTCTTCTCTTAAACTTCTTAGTTGGCTACAAGTAAGTATTAAATGTGTGCACTATTTTCAGTTAGTCATTTCTTGTGGCAGGTGAAGTCAACAGAGCATGAGTTATACTTATAATGCAGTTCTCAAAAACCACATGCTGAATAGATTTCATGTCTTAAAAACAAATTTATACCATCTCCAAGATCTACTTCAATATTTTCACTAAACATGTGTTTTTACTCTACTGCATCCTTACCTTTGTTTTTGACATTTGTCTTAGTATCTTTCTCTCCGTCTTCCTACCCTGTTTATTGTGTTTCTTCCCACGATTGTGTAGATGTATAGAACATCAACTGAAAATATGGATCTCCATTTTTCAGCTCATGTCAGTGGGACCTGTGCACTTCAAAAGGGCAGATTTTAACAATGGGATCACAAAATTATGAAACTAATTTTACTACTCTTTTTGCCTTTCGTGGGCATGATGCACAAGCAGTCAATCCCAGTGACCGCACACAAAACTTAAAAAAAAAAGGTCGCTGCTGCAGTCATGAAGATCCGATCATTTACATTTGCAAGTCAGCTGATACTGGCAGAACCAATTGTCAACTTAAATTCCTCAAATAGAGTGGTTTCCATTGAGGTTGTATAGTGCACCATTCTTAGATGGCTTTAAAATGCATTTTCTCATGACAGGTTACTAAAACTGACCTGCAAGTGCTTGCATAAGTAAGATTCTTGATGCCTGTGGTTGATCTTCTATGGTATTATGTATGATAAATTATAGATTACAATCTTTTAATTATCCCTGCTAACTTTGTTTCTGTTTTTCTATTTTGCCTTTTCTGCATTCTCTTTGTTAGATGTCATTTTTCCTTCCCTTTTCTACTTTCTTTTGAGATAGAAAATTGGGCTTAAAAATGAGGAGATGCAAAATGTTGTCAGTGGTAGGGGAAAATGTGGGTGCTGTGGACATTTGTATGTTTGTATATACCACTTTGGAAAAATGTCCTGGTAGTGGCACTGTGGGAGTTAGGGAAAATGCGGCTTTCAATTGTTTCCTGTTTTCCCCCAACACAACATTGATCACTGATCAACTATGATGTGCACTGTAGCAGCTCATCATGGTTATTTTGACAGTACCTACAATCCTGTGATATCGATTTACTAAAAAGCATACGGGTCATTACGTTGTGGGAATGTCATTGCCTCCCAAGTTCCTCTTCAGGCCCCACCATCCTGATGAGGATGTCGATGACCATTCCCTTGGTCATTGTCAGAATCCACTCCAAAGTCCATTGTCAAAGAACCATTACTGCAAGGACTAGAGCTGATCAAGGAGAAGGCTGACCAGTACTTCTGCAGGGTAACTAGAAAAGGGGCAGTAAATTGACCTTGCCCATTTCATGTACATACTAACAACAAACTTAAAAACAAATACTTTTAAGCTAACATTTCCTTCCCTCATATGCCTCAAATTCTTCATTTTCCTGAGATAATCATTACTTTGTGCCATCATATCACTTATTCCTTTGATCTAGTTGCTGAACACCTGTATCCTTCATTCCTTGTTCCACAGTTACCTCGTTGTTCTCACTCTCACTTCTTCCTTCCATGGAAGAGTGGCAATTGACAAGAGGTTTGCTCACTCGACCCGTTTTCTTTGTGTTCATCATTCATATTTGTTTTCCTCAGAAGCCTTGTATTTTCTTATTTTTAGAGTGCAAATTGGAATTTTAGTCAGATTACTCCTGATGCTGTCGTTATGCTAGCTGCCATCGATTGCTAGAGCCATTTCTTTTAGGTTAATGTCAATAGAATTAAAGTCATCTTATTTTGTTCTTGATATCTAGTTCACAACTCATCCAGCTTCCTGAAATATTAGATTTCTTTCTAGTCATCAGCATTTGGGGTTTCTTTGTTCTTTAAGACTTTGATTAATTAATTACACTCATTCAATGTCCACTTTTTAGAAAAGAAATATGACATTGAAAACTTGACTGTACTTATTCAAAATAGTGTGTACCTTTCTTGCTGTAGTCTTGAGAGATTTTGTACACTATTTTGTTTCTTTTATAGTGTATAACATGACGTTTTAACTTAAATGACACATAACTCAGATCATAAATAATGCTAAAGTTGAGGTTTTTCCTTTGCTTTTGAGGAATAAGAGTTTGTGTTTTATAATTGTTGGAGGCACTTTGTGAATCGTACAGTACGCAGTAAGTTTTGCTCATGATTTGTGCATAGGAAATTAAATTGCACTTCTGTGTTTAACTAATTTTACTTTCCTACTGATTTTTGTGTTCCTCTTGGCCTACTGTTGTTTCTGTCTCTGCCCAACCTTTCACTTGCAACTTATTGTGTTGCTGTTATAGCTGGCTTGTTTTTTTTCTGTCTTGAATCTCTCCCCTCTCCTCTCATTATTTTCTGTGTTTTTTTTTAAGAAGTATTCATATTATTCATGTATGTTTGTCATTATTGTTTCTGTTATTGGCATCTGCGACAATTATTTTGGTAAAGCAGTTTTTAAGTTGACCGAGGGACAAGGCTTTCATCAGAGGAAAAGTGTTGAAAGAATAAACCGGTAAGCTGCATTTTCAGTTGAGATTAAACTAGGGATGCTTGCCTCTCTTGTCCTGGGGATTGTTGCTGAATAAAGAGACTGTAGGGTACAGGTTCATAGTTCTTTGAAAGTGGAATCCCAGGTAGGCGGGTAATGAAGAAGGCATTTGGTACACATGCCTTTAGTGGTCAGTGCTTTGAGTTTAGGAACTGGGATGTTATGTTGGCAGGTTTGAGTTACAGGGAGATGTTGAATAGGTTTGGGCGATTTTCCCTGGAGTGTTAGAGGCTGACCTTACAGTAGTTTATAACAAAATTAGATGTTTGGATAGGGTGAATAGCCAAGGTCTTTTCCCCAGGGCAGAGGAGTCCAAAACTATTGGGCAAAGGTTTCAGGTGAGAGGGGAAAGATTTAAAAGGTACTAAAGGGCAACTTTTTCACGTACGTGTATGGAATGAGCTGCCAGAGGAAGTGTTGGAGGCTGGTACAATTACAACATTTTAAAAGGCATCTGGATTGGTTCATGAATAAGAAGGGTTTAGAGGGATATGGGCCAAATGCTGGTAAATGGGACTAGGTTAGTTTAGGATATCTGGTCAGTATGGATGAGTTGAACCCAAGGAACAAAAACAAAGTTGCTGGAAAAGCTCAGCAGGTCTGGCAGCATCTGTGGAGGAGAAAACAGAGT